AACAGACACAGCTGAACCTTTGAGGGGGGATATATGTCCTCCTGCTAGGTCTACCCTGGAGCAGATGGATATGTGAGCATGGATGTAGAGAGAGAGTAGGAATGGGTGTGCCTTTTTGCTTCAAGCACCCCACTATGCGTATACTTGTCCTTTCCTAAGGGGGAAGTATATTTAATCTTGTGGCAGCAAAGGGGTTTTGTTTCTGTTATTTATTCTGTATCCACCTTTCCTGGACTATTCCACTGTAATCAAGTTGTAGAAATCAACTGACACCATTCCAAGAAAAATTTTATTGTATCAACTAAAGTGACCAGGGCTGTAACGAGATTTTACAGGAGCACAGGATCGCAGGAAATGAAAATGGAAACAGCATATATATTCTGTAGAAAAATGTATGACGTTCTAGAAATTGCCCCAACCTCACATCAGAATCACTTCCAAGCATTCTCATTGTACAACTCCCGGAAAAGGTTTTGAACAAATAAAGCTTCATCTTCCATGCCATACATTATCATAAGTGCCTGTAATACATTTTTCTGATGCATTCATTACAAAATCCTATGAGGTATAAATTAAGATGTCCTTTTTACAGAAGACTGAGACTTAGAGAGGTAAAGTTTTCACAGCTATTAATGGCTAGACAAGAATATGATGCCAGATCTAACCCTTAAGCCTAGACCCTTACGTTCTATTCTACAGCGTAAATACACCACTGGATTCAGGTATATTCAAATCATACATTGAACCATAAGCCACTACTGCCCCAGAAGTCCACAGGAAGATACATTTTCAAGTGTCAGTGGTGAAGGGAAGAAAAATACGATGCTTTAGGCCAAGCTTAAAACGGAAACGCCAATGCAGAGCTAACTGTTAGGAAAGCTGGGCTGGAACATGAAGCCAAGGACTGGAGGCCTCTGAAGCCAAATCCCTCCCCTAACCCCAACTTAACTCATAGGACCAGCTGGCTCTACGGGAGGTGGGAAACTGAAGAGATGAGAAAGCTCCAAGTCATAGGAGAGAAAAGGGAGAAAAGAAGGTGGTGAGGTCTGCCCTACTGAACTTCCAGGTATTTGAGAAAAGAGGGTAAGAAGAGAGATGCATTTACGTATACGCCTTGTCAACATACATTAGCTTTGTCGTCCAGTAAATATGTCCGATCAGATGTCCCAAGAGCTTACCCCTCCGATTATCAACACTCCGTCATGAACGGTGAATAAGTAGTTTTTGGGAGAGGTAATTCACCACGGGCCTTGAGGGCACCTGCATGTTCTTATTGGTTTTCCAAGAATGCAAGGCCTTGACCCCATTATACCTTGGCCTTTTCTCAGGGTTGTGTTTGCAGGGAGCAGTCCTGAGGAATGAAGTAATACTGACTGCCCAAGACAGGCTTGTTACTGCTTATAATAAAAGCAACAGACTCCACAAGTACAGTGCTCCTCTCCTCTAATACAACCCACTGCATGTACAGGCATCAATCAAGACCCACCTGTGTTGGACTTGGGTCCAATCTATGGGTCTTAGATTTGTGGGCAAGGGAAACCAGCATTAACACTAAGCTCTGGCTACTGCTTTTGCCATGAGTGATGAAGGCCTGTCTCTAATGTGAGAGTCTCAGTTTCAGCACCCATGAAACTGTGGCAAGGTAACCTGTTAGCTTGCAAGTAGGGTCCAATCTCGGACCCTTCATAGTTCTTGATACCAGGAGGATAGAATGAAGGGGAAGAAACTTGAGTGCAGTCCTGCCCCTTTCTTGTGACTAGAAGCTGTGTGACATAGCCACGTGTCCACAGCTAATTAAGATCACCAGCAGGTAGCTGCCATGTCAGGGAAATGTCTTTGTATTTCTTGAGTTAACTCCATTTAGTCTTCAACCTTGCAGGTCCTTGAAACTTTCTTATTCTGATATTTGCTTGATAATTACATGTTGGCTTGGTTTAACTCTCCTTTTAAATTCAAAAGCTCTCTGAAATTAAGAGAGACGATTGACTCTAACACGTGCATAATTTTTGTTTCTGCTCCATATTATACTGTGGATACTCCACATATAATGTGCTAAGTATAAGCATGTTGCCCATCATCACTATTAACAAACACAGAGCCCATTCACCCACCTTCCTTACCCTTCTCCCAGGAAAATGGGAGAGTGTAAAATGGGAGAGTGATATTAGGAAACAGGCCTAGGTTATGACTTTCTCTTCTGTGGATCTTCTGATCCATTTTACAGAAATAATGACTCAATAATCACATATTTTAGACAGAGAAATAGCAACTAAATTTTGTTTTATCCATACCCTGCAAGTTGTTAACCACCTGACAACACAGTTCCAGCCAGGAAATGTAATTTTAAACTCTCAAGCTATTTAACTCTTATTTAAAGTTGAGATGTGAGAAATACTAGTTACGGTCCTCAGAGGACATACATTCTTTGGAGTTTCTCTTATAGTTGGTCTCCTGGAAATACCAGTCACATTGAGTTGTCACTTGGGAACCGTGATTTCCCATTTCACTAATTCAGTAAAGAGACCCTGGAGTCTTCCCAATTGTGGGAGGGCAGAGTTATTTAAACTGGAATTTTCCTTCTACTTATTTTCTCTTTACCAACCAGTCTAGAGTCAGTTTCATCAGTTTGGGTTCTTTGAGGAACAGACATCAAGATGGGATTAGATGTGCAGGAAATTTATTGGGGGAAACACCTGCGAAGGACAGAGGGAAGAAAGGTTGAAGAATCTTAGACTTCAGTATACATCTAAGAAACTTCATCCAAGCCAATGGAGACTTGAGCCAGAATCTCCCACTAGGGGGGTCCTTCTCCCAAGAACAGGCCTGCTGTAGCATCTTTGTTGTGCTTAGTCATTGACTGGGAATGGCTGATGGGAACTGTGAACTCAGTGGGGTGCAATGTTGAACTCAGAGCACAGCAGCTGGGCTGTTCATCAGTTATGCTCACTGAAGCAGGAAATCTGAGTGGTGCATTATCACATCCACCACCGTAGGCAGCCCAAGGATAAATGAGGGCCCAATTTTCTAACCAGATGACACATCCTCATGACCAGCAGATGTGAGAAACAGCTGCACAAAACCCACCACTGCCTTCATTGTGGGCAAACTGCTAGGGATGCTTCCACTACATCACGGTGTTCCCTTTATGAGGGCCCAAGAATAATACCTCCTGTGGCTCAGGGTCTGGCAAAGCTATTCCTCCTCCGCAACTGGTATGTTTTCATACTGTAGACATAAAGACTTTCCAGCTGATTTCCTCTGTCTTGACTGTCAGAAAGTTAGAACTAGGCTTGGGGTCTAACTTCAGCTTTAAGTGCTTTACTTTTTCAATTATTCTTTCATCTTCCACAATTCCTTTACTCAGCACAACTGTTCTCTGTGAGTGATGTAAATGCTTTTCTGAATTAAGGCAAGAAATAACCACCTTAACCCAGGATGGTACCATTTAGCACTAAAAATACTAGATTTTAAATGCTTCAGCTTATTTTTTATGATAACTTTATATACAGGTCAAATTCTAAACACAGAGACTATGAATCATGAGAGTTAGAAGAGCCTTAAGAACCACAACTGTATCTAACCTGTATTTATATTGGCTCTGATTAAAGATTTCTGAGCTCCTGGAATTATTTTTTTTTTTCCCTCACTCCTGGAGGTTTCTGATGCAAACGCTAAATCTAAGAAAAGATGAATTCTCCTGACAGGGAGTGAAACCCTGAGACTTCCAGTATTTTTTCTTTTAATTTCTCTCTGTTTATAATTTTTCTATGTTTTGTAATTTTGGTTTCTTCTGAGAAATAAAGTACTATGAAATCGTGATGTGCATCTAGTAAGAGAAAAAAAAGGAAACAGAGATGCATTTCATTTATCCAGCAGTTTGGATTAAAAATTACTTACAAATTAGAGTGTTAGACATGGACACAGAGAGGGAACATCACACACTGGGGTCTGTTGGGGGATGGGGGCTAGGGGAGGGATAGCCAGGGCGTGTGGAGACTGGGGAGGAGTAACACTGGGAGAAATACCTAATGTAAGTGATGGGGGATGGGTGCTGCAAACCACCATGGCATGTGTATACCTCCGTAATAATCCTGCAAGACCTGCCCATGCACACCAGAACTTACAGTATAATTAAAAAAAAACAAAAACCTAGAGGGTTGGAGCATGAAAGCAGGGCATAAAATTGATGAACTTACTTTAAGGCACACTTTTTAGGTACTTTGACGCTCCTTGTTTCGGAGCTCTAGAACTTTACCCCTTAATTTGGGATAGGAAGAGTGTTTTTCATTTGAATCAAGGCTGGAAGACCAAAACTGTGGTTAGATTCCTGAGAGTTAAGAATTCGATTATTTTCAGGCATTAACGTACAAAAGCCTCCATTTCCACATCTGCTGCATAGAGTAGTGCTTGCCTTATAAAACAGCTATGAAGATTAATAACAGCATCTATAAGCTTTGTAACAGGCAAATAGTTAAGTACTTAATAAATGGCACCTATCATCATTGTTAATTACAAAAGACTGTCAAATCCAGGTATTCTTTTTTTTTTTTTAATTGTACTTTAAGTTCTGGGGTGCACGTGCAATCTTGCAGGATTGTTGCACAGGTACACACCTGCCATGGTGGTTTGCTGCATCCATCCCCCCGTCACCTACATCAGGCATTTCTCCCAGTGTTATCCCCCCTCAACCTCCGCACCCCTCAGCAGACCCCAGTGTGTGATGTTCCCCTTCCTGCGCCCATGTGTTCTCATTGTTCAACACCTGCCTATGAGTGAGAACATGCAGTTTTTGATTTCTGTTCTTGTGTCAGTTTGCTGAGAATGATGGTTTCCAGGTTCATCCACATCCCTACAAAGGATATGAACTCATCCTTTTTTATGGCTGCATAGTATTCCATGGTGTATACTATTTTCTTTGTGTAGTCTATCATTGTTGGGCATTTGGGTTGGTTCCACGTCTTTGCTATTGTAAACAGTACCACTATGAACATACATACGTGTGCATGTGTCTTTATAATTGATTTATAATCCTTTGGGTATATACCCAGTAATGGGGTTGCTGGGTCAAATGGAATTTCTATTTCTAAATCCTTGAGGAATCGCCACACTGTCTTCCACAATGGTTTAACTAATTTACACTCCCACCAACAGTGTAAAAGTGTTCCTTTTTCTCCACATCCTCTCCAGCATCTGTTGTCTCCAGATTTTTTAATGATCGCCATTCTAACTGGCGTGAGATGGTATCTCAATGTGGTTTTGATTTGCATCTCTCTAATGACCAGTGATGATGAGCATTTTTTCATATGTTTGCTGGCCTCATAAATGTCTTCTTTTGAAAAGTGTCTGTTCATGTCCTTCATCCACTTTTGAATGGGTTTGTTTTTTTCTTGTAAATCCGCTTTAGTTCTGTGTAGATTCTGCATATCCAGGTATTCTTAACATGGGGTCTGCAGATCCTTGGTCCATGGATAAAACTGCAGGGGTGGACATCCCTAAAACTGGATGAGAAAAAAAGATTACATCTACATTTTCATTAACCTCTAAGCAAAATTTACCATTTCCTTCCATCATGAACGGAGGAGACATAGTATTAGATGGACCTATCACTTTGCACCAACAGAAACGACACGTACTTTCATATTAGATTTCTGATGTTACAGACAGCTTTTTGAAATTGCAGTATTAGACCTGATCTTGCCAGATCTTATTAGTGTATTAATACAAGGATACATGTTATGTATGTATTTTAAAATTTTAATATAATTGGTTTCCTTTGTAGTCCTATGTACTTTATGAACTTAAAGCTTAAATAACTTCTCATTATTCTGAGAAGGGGCTCAGCAGCTTCACAGGACTGCCATGGCACACACATAAAAGTTAAGAATGCCTAAATTTTAGTCTATCTCTTTGCTTCCAGAAAGCCAACCAAGTCTGACAACCGAACACCTGCCTGAGTGAGCCAGTTCCCAAAGTCTCGGGTTTATTTCCCTGTGCGTGACTTGATGGGAAGATATTACGGTCTCGTACATGACTCCACCAATTAACCTATTTGCTGAGCTCACCTTCAGCTTATACCTGGCATCTTTCCTGAATTGTGTGTTGGGCCTTCTGAGGCACACAAAATGAACTGACAAGCTGATTCTCTGGTATGTTCTGTTCACACACACCTGGCCCCAGGAGATGCCAGGCACATGATGAAGCTGGGCAGTGATTCTCAAGCCTGATCCCAGACCAGCAAGCAGGATCAGCGTCACCAAGGAGCTTATGAGAATTGCAGATTTTCAGGGCACACCCTAGACTTCCTGAAACAGAAACTCTGGGGTCTATCAGTGTTTTCTCAAGCCCTCCAGATTCGCACGCCGGAGTCTGATATCCACCGCACTAACACCGCTCCTGCAACTGGGGCTGGAATTTCAATGCAGGTGGTGCTGAGGGGCGGCCAACGAGTCGAAAGCTGGAGCAAGGGGGCTTGTTTTGTTCCTGCACCCCGATTTTACTTACATTACCCGGGGCCTCAAGGGTGACTGATAGAGATTACCCCTGAGCGCCGGCCCCTCGGTGTCACGAATGCAAGGCGAGAGAAGGGGAGTCAAGGGAGACGCCTGATTCCTCTGACCGTCCTCCCCTGCGAACTCGTGGGGGGCACAGCCCCAAACCAGCAAACTCTGGGCAACCCAGCGGCCTTCGGAACCCTTCCCAGGTCTTCCGCCCGGAGCTAGAGGGCGCACTCCCTGACGGGAATTGTGGTCTCGGCAGCCCGCGGACCTCAGGCTTTTCCGGGCTCTGTTGCCTCTGGAAAACTACAAGTCCCAGGATGCCCGGCGCGGGAGGGTCACGTGGGAGGAGCAGCGGGCGCGGCTAAATAGTCTCCATCGGCCATTTTGTAGGAGAAGCCGCAGCGCCGCCTCTTCTCTCGCGTCCTCGCATCCGTCGCCGCCGCCTCTTCCTCCGCCTCCTCCTTCGCCTCTTCCTGCCTCCTCCCGGCTTCCGCCGCCGCTACTCCAGCCGCATCCCAACCCCGGAGCGAACCGTTTCCGTATTTATTTCCGTTTTCTCGTCACTGCAGCCTCCTGACACGGTGATCCGGGCGGGCCCCGCAGGAATTTTATCCCCTCACCGGCCTCACACTAGTATCGCATGTCCACTATCCAGAACCTCCAATCTTTCGGTAAGATCCCGTCGCCGCCGCCTTCCTCCCATGCCCCGCGCGCCTCTCTCCCTGCTGCCCGCCTGGGCCACCGCCCCCAGGGGCCCGCTTTTTGCCCTCCCTGCACCCCGACTGGGGCTTTGTCTCGGCGCCCAGAAAATGGCGACGGGGCCCCTGGCGACCCCCTCCCCGAGGACAGCGCCGGACTGCGAGCCCTCCTCTCGGAACCCCGGCCCTTGCCCTCCCCGCCCCCCACCAGCCCCGTCCTTGACCCGGCTCCCGCCTCCGCCTCTGCCCTTTGACACTTCGGCGACCTTACTTCGTGGACTCCTGGATCGGCCCTGCTACTTGCAAAGGGGATGCCAGGCCGGGGGGATTGGGGACCGCCGTCCGTTCTCTGGCAGCTCCCGGGGGTACTTGGGGAAGGATGCGGGTGCAGGCCTCTCATCTGTCGCTGGGCAGTGGTTCAGTCTTCTCTGCTTGCGTAGCAATTTGTAAAATTACGCCTTTTGATGTATGTATTTAATCTACTTTTTTTTGGCAAGGCGCAGTTACAGTTACATGATTGGGGTGGGCATATTCGAATGTTTATGTTTTCATCAGAACGTAATCGAGATGACGCACGTTTTTATAGCGGCTACAAAATTAAGGTTTTCTAAATCTCCTTTCTCTCGTTAGAGGACCATATTCAACGATAACATCTATCTATAACAGTTTCTCTACAACGGACGTAGGTGTTCAAATGTTTTTCTCTTTTTCTGAGAGTACCTTGGGGGTTTTATTAATACTCCACCCTCATCTTCATACCTACCCGCAAAAACAGCAAAGGCACTAGAACCTTCACTGATGACTGTCTGGATTGGTAATATAACATATTTCTGGAAAGTACTTCCTAAAAAATAAATTTCTACTTTGGATTGTTTTTTGTATCCATTTGCAGACCCCTTTGCTGATGCAACTAAGGGTGACGACTTACTCCCGGCAGGGACTGAGGATTACATTCATATAAGAATTCAGCAACGGAACGGCAGAAAGACGCTGACTACTGTTCAGGGCATTGCAGATGATTATGACAAAAAGAAACTTGTGAAAGCTTTCAAAAAGGTAAACGGGTTAGAGTTGAGTTCCTGAGGCGAACGGATCAGGATTCACACCTTTGTATCCGTGGATGAAAATGACCAGACCGAAAAAGTTGTTCTCATTCTTGTAATTAACACATAATTATTTAGTTATTCTCCCAGTGTGAGCTCTCATTTTAAAAGAAGATTCTCGTGGCTTTCACATAAATTTAAATGTGAAATATTTAGTTCTTGACGCTACACATAAAATCATTTCCTGATTTACAAATTAATTTGGAAGGATTGTGGATTGTAAAAGACAAAATCTGTTTCTCTAAATAAAATCAAGCTTACTGAAATGGTAAATTCTGTTCTTTTGGTGAAATAAAAACTCATAGTAGTTGACTAAATTTTGTTGTATATTTATGCACTTTTCCAGAAATTTGCCTGTAATGGTACTGTGATTGAACATCCTGAATACGGAGAGGTTATTCAGCTTCAAGGTGACCAAAGGAAAAACATTTGCCAGTTTCTCTTGGAGGTGAGTGATTGGGTGCTTTATGTGTGACGTTGAGATTGCTTTTAAAATTCTATTTAAAGGCAACATGATTTGTTTTCTACTAAATAAAAAATCATACGAATGAAGTAAATTAGGTGAAATAAAGATACTGTACTTAGTGGGAAAGCAAAGACCTTCACGTGGTTTATTTGTCATTAGAGTTTTCTGATCGTGTCTGTATATACACACAGGATATTTCTTGGCATATAAAGTATTCAAATATATGTTGAATTGTAGGCTGTCAACAGTGCATGCCACAGATGACAGCGTTGCAATAAGCTGTTCATATTGATTCTTTCTAATCTTCCATGTCTTCTTAATGAATGTATATAATTCTCAGGGTTATTTTGCTGAATTTTACTTTATTTTACAGGTTGGCATTGTCAAGGAGGAACAGCTTAAAGTTCATGGATTCTAAAATGAACCTAAATACGTGGAGAATTTCTTGAATGGTTGTGTTCTCTAAACTCAGTTTGGCTGCCTTGTGAAATGATTCCCCACAGTAAACGGACTCCTCATTTATTTAATCCTTCAAACTTCCATTCACATCTGCATGATTACAGAAAACATGGGGTATGTAGGCTGGTAACAGATAAGAAAATTGCAGTAAGATGGTAACAAAACCTCATATTCGTCCTTACGTGTTTCCAGTGGAAAATGTTTTGAGTGTTTGTTGTTTGGTTTATTATGTTTCACTTGATTCAATGTTTTTTTTGTTGTTGTATTAAACCATGTATGTTGCAGCTTAACAATAAAAAAAAAAAATCTATGAATCCTTGTGAGCAATTATGCCCCCAAATCTAAGCAAGGAAAATACACATTTTGTCTTTCTTAAGTGGAGTTATTCTGCAAATATTCTTTCTGATTAGCTTCAGCTGTTATACCCAGACCTAGAGGAGAACCTTTGTTATATGTAGCTTGTGTTTTTCATTTACTGATTTAAGAATAGAAGCAGGAGTAGAAATTCAGCGAGAGCCACTATTCCTGGCAAAAGCGGTAAAAGTTGACAAGGAATTTACCATACTGTAGTATTAAATGTAAAAGGGTATGAAGTTGAACAGTATTAGCACAGGGTTCTTTTCTGTGTTCATATCAATTGTTACTGAGTTGCCAACATAAGTCTATCGCTAGTTACTATATGTTACTGAGTTGCCAACATAAGTCTATCCCTAAGTACTATATGCTGTAATAGTCTTGTGACATAAAGTATATTTAGTCATAGACACTTCCCTGCAAGGGTAGGTTGATGGTATCACTGTCTTACAGACGGAAAACACTGGGCCTCAAGTTAATTTCCCAGGAGTGCTAGAAAGTGACAGGGTGTCAGCCCAGAGATTCCAGCCAGGAAATTTATTTCACTACATCATGGTTTTGGTGTGTGTTTTACCAAAGGGAACAGATGACAATGACCAGTGGGTGGTAGTGGTGTAAGAAATAATTGGACCAGGAACAGTGGCTCACGCCTGTAATCCCAACACTTTGGGAGTCCAAGGTGGGCAGATCACTTGAGGATGGGAGTTTGAGACCAGCCAGGCCAACATGGTGAAACCCCATGTCTACTAAAAATGCAAACAATTAGCCAGTGTGTGCCATAGTCTCAGCTGTTCAAGGCTGAGGCCCCAGAATCGCTTAAAACAGGGAGGTGGAGGTTCAGTGAGCCAAGGTGGCACCACTGCACTCCAGCCTGGGCAATAGAGCAAGACTCTGTCTCTTAAAAAAAATAAATAAAACTTGCAGTTCTTAAAGAGATTTCTGCAGCTCATCCTCTTGAGTTCCAGGCTCCTTTCTATTAAGTAGTGGTTATTTACTTGGTTGTAGAGGCTATGCCACTAAAACCATTTAGCCAATGCAAAGAAATGCATGTGTAAGGGCAAACTTTTTAGCTTACTACAGTTGGATAAGGATGGTATGGGAAAAAAGTTGTTTTGGGCCAGTGAGCCCTAATGAGCCCTTGCCTGTATTTTGATGATAGTGTTTTTGGGAAAACAAAATTGGCCCCCACAAAGTTTGCCTCTTAAAGACATTAATAATAGGTTTATTATTTTCTCACCCCATCCTGCCTCCAATACAGTAAGAGAACAGAGGTAAGAGGTATATACCAGAATATAGTCCCAAATTGGATAAGCTCATTTCTGGAAAACATCAATATAGTTTGATGAAGAAGGTCAAGAGGTTTGGGAGAATTTTCCAAGTTTCTAAGAACCTCCTACTTTTTCATCTGTAATATTGTGAAATAGCACCCTATTGAGGAGTGCTGTGGAAATAGTAAAGCGGAAACATACTAGCAGCCACATTCAAATGCTGCCTAAATAAATACATCTGCTGAGAGCTGAGCTACTGGCAGGAAAATAATTTATCTTGGGAAAGAAAGCATCCCTCATGCTGGGACCATGGACAAGCTCTGTAGTCATCACTTCCTGTGTCAGTCCAAAGTGGGTGGGATTAAAAGGCTTGAGGAAAACTTCCCTCTGAATTTTGTGGAGAGCACCCTTCCTAACTCCTCCCTTCCGCCTGTGAGCTCCAGACACCTGATTGGACGTTGAACTTGGAGGATAGTCCCAATCTTCAGAGCAAGAAAGAGACTAGGAGGCATTGTGTAACTGGAGGGAAGATGACATTTCTTACAGATGCAGCGAACTGGCAGTAGCCAAACTGCCTTCCACGCTGGAAGGTCTTGATCTGCAGTTTCTTGAGTGGTTTATACTTGAGGTTGCACAATGCATAATACCAAGTAGAGGATAAATAGATCTATCACTGGACTTTTAAACTTGGTGAAGCCATTAGGAAGTTAAAACCTCTGGCTGAATCACAGCCTGGAGTAAAGTGCTGCTGGCAGCCATGTCCTCTGCCTTCCAGTGCTGGTTCTCCTGAGGCAGAGGAAAGCCCATGGAAACAGTGTGATCAACCTACTTAGGAACCCAGGTAACTCGGGAACTGTTTTCTTAACCATTCTAGAAAGGGGGTGGCTCCAATCATATGGAAGGGACAGTTCTAGTTCATCATGATGGCAGTTAACCACAATAACTTGAGGAATATGGAGGCTTCTGTGTGCCGCACACATGCCACCAGCCTGGCTCCACCTAAAGGGATGGGTAATGACAGCTTGGGAAAAGGCAACTTCATTCGACCACCCACACACACCAGTTGCACTGGGTTTCTGAGGACTCCCCTTACCAAGGCAAAGGTCCATTTGGGAGAGAAACAGGCGTGACCCTGCTTTAACTAAAGCCAAGGGAGTCCTCAGTTGTGGACAGGGAAGACGGAGCCGGTGACATTGTGTCTGGGATCAAAGGGCCAAGTGAATCAGCTAGAATTAAGCAAAATTATATGAGACTCGGCATGGAAGGCTCTTCGTGTAGTCCTGTCGGCACTTAACTCCTTTTTATCTAGATAATGGAAGCATGGGGGGAAATCGTAAGTCAGAGGAATGGCTGTATCTCCTCCCTCCTGGAAAACCATTCAGAGTGGAATTAATAGTGATGAGAGGAGAGAATCGTGTTAGATGACTTTAAGGATTCTCTGAGCTACACAGGAGAACCCCAAATGGCAATTTAAACTCAGCCTTGGCTTGTGAGGATGCCATCGCGGGTCAGGTGGCTCATCTGGTAAGTCGTCCATGTGATTCTGAACCTAACACGTGCAGCAGTAGATCTACTGTGGTCTGCACCCCGTGAACTGAAGGTCCTGGCGCTGCATGATGCTGGGTCTAGGTGCCCTCATCTCAAACTAGTGAACAGCCTACAGACATTTTTCATGCTGAAAGCAATGACATGTAGATGGGTGCCATTCATTCATGACGCAAAAGAAGTTTAAAGCCCCCACGGGGAATCTAGGTGATGTCAGCCCTCATGCTGGTCTTCAGCTGCAGCGCCCTGTTCTAGCCCAGAGGGTTTTGAAGGGCCTCGGGTCTACAGAATGGTCCGTAAGGAGGCTAGCTGTAACCCCAGTTTGTCTCCATGTGTTCTTTACCCATTTTTACCGGAACCCCACACCCCACCTCCTGAGTTCACTGGGCAAGGAACAACTTAGGAGAGTGGAGATAGAACTTTTAAAAAATGTTTTTATTTTTATTTTTCATTTATTTGTTTTTGAGGCGGGGTTTTGCTCTTGTTGCCCAGGCTGGAGTGCAATGGGGCTATCTTGGCTCAGCCCAATCTCTGGGCCCGGGTTCAAGCGATTTTCCTGCTTCAGCCTCCCAAGTAGCTGGGATTACAGGAATGGGCCACCACACCCGGCTAATTTTGTATTTTTAGTAGAGACAGGGTTTCTTCATCTTGGTCAGGCTGGTCTTGAACTCACGACCTCAGGTGATCCGTCTGCCTCAGCCTCCCAAAGTACTGGGATTACAGGCGTGAGCCACCATGCCTGGCATTTTTATTTTTAAATTTAATTTTCCCTTTTATTTTCAGTTGACATGTAATATTATACATATTTGTGGGATTCAGAGTGATACTGCAGTACATGTACACAATATATAATGATCAAATCAGGGTAAATTAGCATATCCATCACTTCAAACATTTGTCATTTCCTTGTATCGTGAATATTTTAAATCCTCTTTTCTAGTTTATCCATATTGCTCATTATGACAAATTCTGTGGGGAACACATCACCAGACAAGGATTTGGTGGAAGGTATAATTCCTTACAGTAAGAAAAGACAAACCTGGGTGCGGTGGTTCACACCTATAATCCCAGCACTTTGGGAGGCTGAGGCGGGCAGATCACCTGAGGTCAGGAGTTCCAGACCAGCCTGGGCAACATGGTGAAATGCCATCTCTGTTAAAAATACAAAAATTAGCCAGACATGGTGGTACACTCGGGAGGCTGAGGCAAAGCAAATCGGTTAAACGAGGGAGGCAGAGGTTGTAGTGAGCCAAGATCACAGCACATTACCTGGCCTCGGTGACACAGATAGACTCTGTAAAAATTAAAATTTAAAGAAAAAAATAGGCCCACCCCCACTGTCAGTCACAAACTCCACTCTTAGTGCCTCACTGCCATTGACTTGTTAAAAACGAAGAAAACCTTAGCCCAATCCTAGCATCAGGAAGAACGGTAGATGAGTGGCCAGACGCACTGAATGGGAACCAGAACAGCCCACTTGGCAGAAGAAATGCGCTGGAATGAAATATAGGGTACCCGGTAAATGATGCTGTCTCAAAAGAAATTGAAGGGGCCGATTCCTGCAAGTATGCGGTCCTTTATCACCCCCTTGTGGCCACTTGAACAGCTGGCAGGCTCCTGGCGGTTTACATGAACGATGCATTCAGTTGTTGCAGTTATCGTTAAAGCACCAGCTGACAGGTTCGATTTTGTCATCGCTCAAATGTGATTCAGAAACTGATCTAGCCAATAACCTGTTATTATAATTCATAAAAATCAGTTGCAATTTTTCTTGACCTGGGAGAGGCAAGAATGTTTTCATGGTCTTGCCCCGGGGATATATAAAGCACCTCAGCTACTATCTACCACGGTGTTGTTAGAAGGAATTTACTTTAAATGTAAACAGAGACCGCTGTTTTAGCCTCCAGGGAATGCATGATTAAGCTAGAAAACAAGACTCCTAAATTGTGGCTTGTTGAGAAAGACAATGTGGAATTTGGACACACACACACATACGCTAAATATTCAGCGCTCTCAATCTAAACCTCTGCCTTAGGCCATACACAGGTTAATGTGCCTTTCACTTCTAAGGTCGCCTAAAGACTTCTGCCTGGGAAAAGCAGTGACGGAATTCCTAAAAACCCCTTAATGCCACAGTATATGACGCC